AACCACCAGCCTTCTGGTTAGCAGTCAAGTGCCTTAGGCACTACACTACCAGAGCTCCCAATTGGAATGCAGGATGTATGAAGTACGAATCTAGGAAAGTTGGAAGTTGTAAAAAATGAAACGAAACACATAAAGATCAATATCCTAGGCATTATTGAGCTGACATGGACTGATATTGGCCATTTTGAATTAGATAACCATCATGTGGTCTACATGCCAGGAATGACAAATTAAAGAGGAATAGTGTCACAATCATCATCAAAAAGAACATTTCAAGATCTATCTTGAAGCAACACTGTTAGGGATAGGATGATATCCATACTCCTTCCAGGAAGACCAGTTAATATGACTATTATTCAAATTTATATACCAATCAGTAAAGCCAAAGATGAAGAAATTGAAGATTTTTAACAACTTCTGTAGTCTGAAATTAATCAAACATGCAATCAAGATGCACTGATAATTACTGGTGACTGGAATGCAAAAGTTGGAAACAAAGAAGAAGGATGAGAAGTAGGAAAATATGGCCTTGGCGATAGAAATGATGCTGGAGATCACATGACAGAATTTTTGCAAGACCAATGACCTATTCGTTGGAAATACCTGTTTTCAACAACATAAATGACCACCATACATATGGGCCTCACTATTTAAGAATCCTTCTTGTCTTGAGCCCACCAAACTCCTTATAGTGACTCCTAGGCCTGTACTGGGATCCTGAGGTAGTGCAAACAGTTAACAAGCTCAGCTGCTAATTCAAAGGCTGGAAGTTCAAGTCCACCCAGAGGTACCTTGGAAGAAAGTCCTGGCGATCTACACCCCAAAAAGCAGCCATTGAAAGCCCTGTGGAATACAGTTCCACTCTGACACATGGGATCGCCATGAGTTGGAATCAATGCAGTGGCAGCTGGTTAGACCTGTACTACCCCCACCACTCGCTCCTCTGCTGGCTGGCTCAGGGCAAATTTTTCATCAGAAAAGCCTCTACAATAATTCTGTTTTATTTTCTTCTTATGACACTTTTCACTTCCACGAAACCATTTATTTGTGCATTTACATGGTGACCCTCTTCTTCTCTGACTGGAAGGTCTCATTCATGGCTACAGCTTCATGGCCTAGAACAGAGCTCAGCACACAGGGTGCTCTCAATACACATTCAGGGAAGAAATGAGAGAAAAACCTTAAAAAATATACCTTACCTGCCGAAAACTGGGTTGAGAGTATTGGGAATATAGTGGTCTCGATCTTCAACGACTTTTTTGCCCAGAGTTATTTTTATATAAGGGTCACACTGCAGGGATAAAGAGATGGGATGTTATGTCACTATGGGGTGCAAGTTTAAGTCAGTTTCTGGGAAAGACCCGGATGTGCCTCCACACCCTCTCCCAGGTAGCTGCTGTGGCACCATGCACCTTTAGAGAGAGAGAGTGAGAAGGGCGGTGGTAGGGAGGAGTCCTGGCTTTCCCCATGACTGGCTCTATGACTTGGGCAAATCTCCAGGGTCACATCTGTAAAATGAGAAGGATGAAGCAGAGGATCTAAAGCCCCCTCAAGCTTTTTGATAAATCCTCATAGGGACAATCCTCCTGAACACAGGGTATTGATAGAATATCTTTCCCTGAGTGAGATAACAGATGCCCAGAAAGAAAGAACATGACAATTATTGTGGCTGATGTCTGTAATTATCTTGCTACAGGAGTAGGCCCCACACCCAAACTCTTACCAGGCCATTGTTGTCCTGGGGCTGGAGTGCTAAGCCTCGAACAATGTAAATCCTAACCGTGCATTCCTGTGGGACACTGTCAGGTAATTCCCGAAACTGCCTGGGTGGGGCCGGCACGCTGGGGTCATCCGACAGCGGATAGATTCTGAAGGAACCCTAAGAGAGAGACACACACGTATGTATTCACAGAGTCCCTGGTGAGCTGAGCAGAGGTTTCCTGGGCAGTCCTCAGGACACTCAGGGACAGCCACAGGAGTGGTGGGACTGGGTGAAGAAGGGCTACCTTTTGTGAAAGAAATAACATATATTGATTGTACTTTGCATATTTCCAGTAGGGAAAGTGAAATGATTATAAGGAAATTATTTAACACATTGTGGGAGAGAAAGGGGGTGAAACCAGGGAAGCCAAGCAATAAACCTGGCCAGAGATGGAGGTGGCCTGACCAGTTAAGTGGCAGAGATGGTGAAAAGGAGTGTGATTCTGTATATATTTTGAAGGTAGGAAGAAACTAATTTTTAAAACTCAGTAAAGTACTAAGGGTGATTTGCTGTTTTCTGCATCACTCCTTAAGTCCCCTTCTCATTCCCAGGCAAATTTCTGTTCCTTTAGGTTTTACCGACTCATAGCAAGCCCTCCTTGGGTTTCCAAGGCATATCACTGTGAAAGTAGATTGCCCAATCTTCCTTCTGAGGAGTGAGTGGCTGGTGGGTTTGAACTGCCAGCTTCTGGTTTGCAGTCAAATGCCTTAGGCACTATGCCACCAGAGCTCCCTCCTTTAATTGAAAGGCATCACTTTTTCCAGAAAAACCCTGACTGCCCCTGGGTTAAGGAGCCCTGGTGGTGCATGAATAAGCCAAATGGCTGCTAACCAGCTCCGTGGTTCAAACCCAACATTTTCTCCAAAGGAGGAAGATGGGGCAATCTACTTCTATAAAGATTTATAGCTTTGGAAACCCAGTGGGGGTTGCTATGAATTGGAATCCATTTGATGGCAGTGGGTTTGGTTTAGCCCCTGGATTGGGTGTGTCTACTTGGTGCTCTCATCTAGCTCTGCACTCACCCCACCCAGTTCTGACCGCTGCATCGCTGCATCGTCACCGTCACCGTCTGCTTGGGGTCTAGTCCTTCACTAGGACCTCTGGTAGCATAGTGCCTAAGGCATTTGACTGCTAACCAGAAGGCTGGTGGTTCAAACCCACCAGCCACTCCTCAGAAGGAAGGTTGCCCAATCTACTTCCATAGTGATATTGCCTTAGAAACCCAAGGAGGTGTCACTGTGAGTCGGATCCGACTCAACAGCAGTGCGTATTCCTTCACTAGATGATGAGCTTCTTTGTTCATCACTTGGTGATGGCATATAGTAGGGGCATGATACATGTTTCAGGCCAGCATGAGGGACGATGTGTTTTATCTCTAAACCTGCTTAAACACAGGGGTAAACATGAATGTTGTTAGATGCTGGCGAGTTGATTTTGACTCATAGCAACCAACCCCATGTGACAGAGGAGAACACCCCACAGGGTTTTCTAGGCTGTAGTCTTCATGGGAGTAGATTGCCAGATCTTTCTCCTGCAGAGTGGCTGAATGGGTTTGAACTGTGAACCTTTTGATTAGCAGCAGAGTGCTTAACCATTGTGCCACCAGGGCTCCTTACATGTGGGTCTTAGTTCCAGCTATGTTCATTCAGTAAAGCAGCATGAATTAAGCACCTCCCATGTGCCAGGTTTTGGAGACTCAGAAATGAAACTCAAGGAACCCCATCTGGCACAGGGGTGTTAAATAGTTTCACTCCTCCTCTTTGATTGTTTGGTTTGAGGCTGTAATGAGAAGGATCTTTAGACCACACATAAACCAAACCAAACTCATTGTCATCAAGTCAATTCCAACTCATAGCAATTCCCATTGGGTTTCTGAGGCTATAAATCTTTACAGAAGTAGACCACCCCATCTTCTTTTTGTGGAGCAGCTGGTGGGTTTGAACCACTGACCATTTTGTTAGCAGCCTGATGCCTTACCCACTATGCCACCAGAGCACATAGTGCATACATAATACTCTGACTGATTAGCAGCTCTGGCGGTGTAGTGCCTAAAGCACTTGACTGCTAACCAGAAGGCTGGTGGTTCAAACCCACCAGCTACTCCTCGGAAGGAAGACTAGGTAATCTACTTCCGTAGAGATACTGCCTTGGAAACCCAAGGAGGGGTCGCTATGAGTCAGAACTGACTCAACGGCAGTGAGTTTGGGTTTTTCTTTTTTTTTTTTTTTGGTTACAGGCAAGGGTTAGGACATATGGAGGGACAGGCAGACAGGTAAGCAGATACTCAGAATGTAAAAGATGCTTTAATAGTGGCATGAACCCAGACCTGTGGGAGCCTTGAGCAGGAGTGAGTCATTCTGCCCGTAGCCATCAGGGAACACTTCACAAAGAATGTGACATTTGAGCTGGCACTTAAAGAATGAAAAGGACTTTGTCAGACCACAAAGAGGAAAGGAAGGGCACCCAGGGAAGGAAGAAGAACTTGTCCCAAGGCTCTGAGTTGTAAGAGGGCAGGGTGTGTTTGGAGCTTGGGAGAGGTTCTCTCGGGCAGGAGGGTGGAGCATGTGAGGGCAGGGTGGCAGGAATGACAAGGAGCTTGTGAAAGTCTGGCTCCACCTTAGGAAGGAGTTGAGACTTGATCCTGTGGAAACCCAAAGGAAACATGACCTGATTTGGTTGCATAAAGGATGGACTAAAGTGAGGTGAGAAAGGTGACAAGGACAATCAACTGGGAAGTTGTTACAACAGTCCTACTGAAAGCCTGTGAGGGGACAGTGGAGAAGGAGAGGAGGCCCAAGATCAGGGAGAGGCTGAGTCACTAGGATTCATAACTGGTTAGCATGAGATATTGAGAATGCCTTTGAGTTTTCTGGCTTCCCATGACCCTTTTCCTTGTTACCACCTTCTAGCATCTGTCAGATGTCAAAGGACATAGCGCTACTGCAGAGAAGCCCCATCTGGTCCCTAGGTGAGACCATAACTCTTATAGTACTTGGACTTTTCTTTCATAGCATTTATCAGTTTGTTGTTTTATATTGGTGTGATTATTTGATTAGTAATTACTAGTGACTGATTCCACTATCCATCTGTCAGTTTATTGCACTGTGGTGACTGGCAGGTTGTTATGATACGAGAAACTATGCTACCAGTATTTCAAATACTGGCAGGGCCACCTATGGTGGACAGATTTCAGTGGCTTTCAGACTAAGACAGACTAGGAAGAAACTCTGGTGATCTACTTCAGAAAATCCAAAGAGAATATTGTCTGAGATAGTGCTGGAAACATACCAACGGTTCTGAGAATGGTGCAGGTCTGAGTATTATCTCATTCTGTTATTCATTAGGTCGTCATGAGTCAGAGCTGACTCAAGGGCAACTAATAACAAGTGACCACAAGCTCCAGGAGGGCAGGAACAGAGTGTTTTTCTTTCTAATCACATCTCCAGACTTAATGCAGGTCCTGGCCCATGGGCATTCAAAAAATATTTGTCCAATGAATTAATACAAGAAATGGATGAATGAATGGATAACACTGCCAACTGAGATTAGGAACAAGGGAAGTGGTGATGGTATGTGGGTGCAGGAAGTGAGTTTAGCTTGGGGCTTGTCAAGTCTGAAGTGTCCAGAAGACAATCAAAAGCAGACATGCAGGAAGCTGCTTTGGTTCCAATTAGCTCTGTAACTTTGGTAAGTTATTTGTTCTCATTAGGCCTTGTTTTTTTCATTTGTGAAATAAAGAAAGTAGCCTAGATGATTTGTGATCCATTATCAGCTGAAACATTCTATATTCTGTATTTCCCACCTCTTAAGTTCAGAGCTTCCTAACAAAGGCTTCCATGTTTGGAAATTGCTGTGGTTGGGTGCCATTGAACTGATTCTGATTTAGTGACTCCATACAATAGAGTAGAAGTGTCCTAGAGGGTTTTCTTAGCCGCAATCTTTACAAAAGCAGATAACCAGATTTTTCTCCCACAGAGCTGCTGGGTGAGTTTGAACCACCAACCTTTGGGTTAGCAGCCAAGATCTTAACTGTTGCACCACCAGGTCTCCTGGTTTGGAAATTGCCAATGACCAAACGTAAAAATGCAGAGCTTGAGGTTGTAAAAAAGCTGTTTTCTCCTTCCTTAGCACCAATGGGAAGACCTGGATGAAGATGGGTCTGCAGGTGATCTATGAGAGTGTTCCTTAGCCCTACTCATGGTGAGAGCTGACTATTTCAAACAAGACACTCTCAGTCTTCTGAAGGTGGTTGCCAGATATTCTTGGCTGACATATTTAATACCACCATCTACAGACTCATCAGTTTTATCCTTTTCTGATTAAACTCATTACTCATTGCCATCGAGTTGGAGCCCACTCACAGCAACCCCTCTTTGGGTTTCCGAGGCGGTATCACTATGGAAGTAGATTGCCCAACCTTCCTTCTGAGGAGTGGCTGGTGGGTTTGAACCACCAGCCTTCTGGTTAGCAGTCAAGTGCCTTAGGCACTATGCTACCAGAGCACCCTTCTGATTGAAGGTGAGGGGAGGGCCAACAAAACCTTGATAATCTACCTGAAAGACTTGGATGGCTTTTACTTTCAGTATACAAAGAAAATAAAGATTGACTCTTAAACAGGACAGACAGCACATTTTACTCACCTTAAACTCTCCCACCACAGAAGGATCATCATTCTCATCGAATTTGCCTCGGTACAGCTTGAAAGTATCTGAGAAGTCAGTGAGGCTTTCAAATTCTGGTACTTTCTCTAGTTCACAATCATATATCTGAAAACCATCAACAGATCATTAATTCCTCATAAATAAAAAGGTGGAGTCTGAAATAAAAAAGATTGACAACAGCAAATGTTCCTGAGGATGTGGATGGAGCAACTGGGACTCTCATATTGCCCTGAGAGTATAAAACGATACACCAAATTAGAAAAAAACAGTCTCGCAGTAAA